TACCTATATGCAATTTGGCAGGAAGTAAATGACTCAGGTATAGTTCTAACTAATTACAGATCTAAAAATAGGCTTCATTAACCTCATACAATTGCATCTTTTAATTTGCGTTTGGTTATTTTATTGAAAAAAGGAGATGGTTCTAGGCATATACATATGAAATGAGCTCAAAAAGACTATTGGCCTCTCCCCCCACCTTCAAGGACTTAACCTAAGGCTGAGTTACATTTAAGGAGTCATTTGAGAACAACTGAAATCCCAGTTAAACCCCATATGAAAACGCTACATTATTATTGTTTGGCATTAGGTTTTTTCTTTTCTTTTTTTTTGTAGATACTATCAGACTGTCGTGCCGTATTGGTAGTTCTGGGACCCTGGTGTGCAGATAAAGTGGCTGGAATGATGGTAAGAGAACTACAGAAATACATCAAACATGAGCAAGAGGAGCTGCACAGGAAATTCTTATTGTTTACAGACACTTTCCTAAGGAAAATACATGCACTATGTGAAGAGCACTTCTCACCTGCCTCACTTGACCTGAAATTTGTAACTCCTAAAGTAATCAAACTGCTCGAAATCTTACGCAAATATAAACCATATGAGCGACAGCAGTTTGAAAGTGTTGAGTGGTATAATAATAGGAATCAGGATAATTATGTGTCATGGAGTGATTCTGAGGATGATGATGAGGATGAAGAAATTGAAGAAAAAGAGAAGCCAGAGACAAATTTTCCTTCTCCTTTTACCAACATTTTATGTGGAATTATTTTTGTGGAAAGAAGATACACAGCAGTTGTCTTAAACAGGTAAATCTCTAAGTTGACTCCTTTCACATGAGAACAGGGAGGTGTCCTGTGTTGTGATGTGATGCGCTGCAGCAGCTGTGAGAGCTAGCATGAGGGTTATGTAAGTGTCCTTGACTTGGCGCCATCATTGCTGATATGTCATGCTGTCCTGGGATTGACAGAGAGGATGTTTTCCCAGAAGGCTGCTTTTCACATGGCTGATACTTTTTTTTCTTAAAGGATGCTAATCCATTCTAATCTACCTAAAATAGAGGACAATTATGGTCTTTAAAAAAATCAGTGTGCATTTAAGTAAAGCATTGTTTTATATTCAGTTTTAGATTCAATTTAGGTATTTATTAATCCTTAAGTGTGTGTTAGACATTGTGTTAAGCATTTCACACCAGGTGTTCCCCTCAGGTAGTCTTAGGATAAATTTTATCTGGGTATTGTGACTAATTTTTTAATGTTGATTTTTTTTTCTCTTAAAAATATTGATTCAACTTTTCAAGGCCAGGTTGGGCATGATGGATTGTGCCTGTAATTCCAGCACTTTGTGAGCCTGAGGCAGGTAGATTGTTTGAGTTCACAAGGGGCAACAGGGCGAAACCCTGTCTCTAGAAAAATTACAAAAATTAGCCAGTGGTGGTGTATGCCTGTAGTCCCAGCTACTCGGGAGGCTGTGGTGGGAGGATGGGTTGAGTCTGGGAGGCAGAGGTTGCAGTGAGCTGAGATGGCACCACAGCACTCCAGCCTGGGCAACAGAGCCAGACCTTGTCTCAAAAAATAAAGTTTTCAAGGCCACAGTGAAGAAAGTTTAGAACAATTGAATTTATTTTGGGTTGGTTCATAGACTGCATATTAAAATTTTGTGAATCAAAAGAGAATAAGAATGTTAGGGAAAGTTCTAAGATTATTAGCAAAGGTGATAATGAATCCAAATTTTAGGCTGTGGATTCCTGCTCTTTCTCCCTTCTTCAATGAAAGATTTTTTTCTCATTTGGAACCAGCCAGGGAACTGTACTTCAGATTTCTGTCAGATGGTCACTTAATGTATGGTCCTTTTGGTTTGTGGATACTCTTTTTTTTTGTTTCTGCCAAAAAACGTCCTTATTTTGTACTTAAATCAATTTACTTTTCTATGAGGTCCATTAATTGGCCACAGTTGATCCCTAACTCTTCTGCAAGTAGTGATCTGGTAGGAAAAACTAAGCTTTGTTTCCTAAAGTAATTTGGGATTTTTTTTCTTTTTCTTTTTCTTTGTGCGCGCGCGCGTGTGTGTGTGTGTGTGTGTGTGTGTGTGTATGTGTGCGCGCGCGTGCTTGTGCTTGCGCTTAACTGCTTCTGAATGTTTAGGGGTTTTAAAAACTTTTTTGAATAACGAGAAATTGGACTCGAGGGTAGTCATCTGGCAGTTTTTAGTCTGGTAATTTTCATAGTCATTGAGCCTGATCCTTCTGATGAATACAAAGGAAAATAACTTTAGGGACCAAATTACATTTAAATCAGAAGTTGTAGTTGGAAGGGGACCTCACTGACTGTATAATCCAACCCACTTATTTTTGTAAAAATGAGAAAGAGCCTCAGGAGAGAGAGAGAGATTTGCTATAAGTTAAATTGCTAGTCAATGGCAGAGACAATTCTAGAATCCTAATATCCTGACTCCTAGTTTCCAGTTCTTTCTATCATAGTAATGCCCCTGGGTGTCACAGAACACTAGAAACCAGTGCTTTACAACAGGAAGATTGCCAGGAGACGGACCTGGGAGAGCGTGACTAAGGAGGGATTATTTCTTAGAGCAGGGTAAAGCATTTTGGGAGTCAAAAAAGTTTAATGCTGGCGCAGTTCTAAGCCTAGTTATGGACATACTCCCCGTCTCCATTTAGGATTGTATAAGGATTAAATAAATTTTCTGGGGCTTGGAGAGAAGAAATGGGGGTGTATTTTCCACCTTCCCCCTGTTTTCTACATGTATTTTTATGTAAAGATGTGCCAGTTTTTATTGTAGGAATATTAGCCTGAAAAGGTTTATCCAGAATCAGTCAAGTTACTTCCTATTGACTTTAAGGATCAGATTAATTGTGATCAACTTTCATAAAATGTGACTGGAATTTAGTGCTGTATGATGAATCAAGAGTGGTCTGAGGGTTGACTTTATGAGCAGCTAATTAAATATACAATAGACGTCTTGTTCCAGTAAGCTTTTTAATAAGCTTAGAAAAACTTCCTGAAATCCAGATTCTTTCCTTCCATCAGTTTAATGGGAGGAAAAACCCTTCTTTAGTGAATAGTTTCATGGGCATATAAGCTATTATAATGTACATGCAGTTTTCTGCTCTCCTAATTAAAAAAATAAATCACAGCCACTTCTATGTGTAGTGTAGGTATGTGCACAGTCTTATGTTTATGGGTTTCTTTGTACCTTATATTTACATAGGGGTTTGTAAGTTACTTTTATATATATTTAAGACGTATTCGCAACACTCCATGGGGGAGGAAAGTAGATGTTCTTTCCATATTACAGATGAAGAAAACAAGCATCAGTGTGTGACCTTCCCCAAATTACACACATATCAAGTGGCAGAAAATGGCTTCCAGTCTCAAGTCTAGTATTCTTTTCACCGTGGAATATACTAGTATTGTGTGATATTGGCATTGGACAAACGTGGGTTCACATCCTGTCTCTACCACCCCCCCCTTTTTTCCTAATAACTTTATTTTGGAAGAATTTTAGATTTACAGAAAAGTTGGGAAAATGGTACAGAGAGTTCTCATATGCCCCTCACTTAGTTTCCCCATTGATGTTATCTCCTGTCACTGTCACAACTAAGAAAACTTAACATTGACCCATTACTATTAACTCCAGACTTTATTTGGATTTTGACAGTTTTTCTACTAATGTCCTCTTTTTTAAAAAAATTATTTTTATTTTTTTCTAACCACTAGACAGTATGGAATAATGTCTTCTTTTTTTTTTTTTTTTTGAGACGGAGTTTCGCTCTGTCGCCCAGGCTGGAGTGCAGTGGCCAGATCTCAGCTCACTACAAGCTCCGCCTCCCGGGTTCACGCCATTCTCCTGCCTCAGCCTCCCAAGTAGCTGGGACCACAGGCGCCCGCCACCTTGCCCGGCTAGTTTTTTTGTACTTTTTAGTAGAGACGGGGTTTCACCATATTAACCAGGATGGTCTCGATCTCCTGACCTCGTGATCCGCCCGTCTCAGCCTCCCAAAGTGCTGGGATTACAGGCTTGAGCCACCGCGCCCGGCCGGAATAATGTCTTCTTTAATCCAAGGTGTCATATCATATTTAGTTGTCAGTATCTGCCCAGTTTCCTCTGGTCTGTCACAGTTTTCACAGTTTCTGTCTTGTTTTTGATGACCTCGACAGTCTTCAGGAGTACTGGTCAGGTATTCGGTGAATGCCCCTCCATTTGGGTTTTTCTTATGTTCTTGAAGTTGGACTGGGGTGATCGGATATGGAAGAATACCATGGAGGTGACCTGCCCTTCTAGTCACTTTATATCAGGGGCTGTCATGGTATCAACCACGAAACATCACTCATCAATGGATTGTGACAGTGTTTGTCTGCTTTCTCTACTGTAAAGTTACACTTTTTCCCTTTTCTTACTGTATTTGGAAGGAAGTCTCCAAGTCTAGCCCATCCTGGTATGGAGGGATTAATCTCCACTTGCTGGAGAGGGGTGTATCTATATGTATTTAATGGAATTCTTCTGTAAGGAAAACTTGTCTAGTTTATCCTATTTATGTAACTGTCTACTTATATTTATTAATTGAATCATATATTTCAATTGGTGGTTTCATGTTTATTTTATAATTTGGGCCATAATCCAATACTATGTTATTTATTTGTTACTCAAATTGTTCCAACGGTGGCCACTGGGAGCTCTTTGAGGATAGCTCCCATGTTCCTTTGACATACCTTCATCCTTTTGTTTTTGAGCACTTTCTTTGTGATACCACGGGGTGCTCTGGGCTCTTGTATTTCTCCCTGCCTGGCCCTAGAATCAGCCATTTTGCCAAGGAGACTCGGTTTCTTTTCTACCCACTTTTTGGATGTATATTTTGTGAAAGTTATTTAACTTTTAAGTCTCAGTATGTTCATTCGTAAAATGGAAATAATACCTCCCTCTTTTACTGGCTTGTTTGTAAGAGACTTTGTATTAAAAATGGCAGTTTTATCACCTGGCACACAGTAGGTGCTAATTCTTCAGCTGCTTATGCATGCATATAGGGGGTGCAGTATCAGTATGCTATTATGTAACTGTCAGTGATCTTTTTTTAGTGAGATCATAGAGGAATTATATTTGGTTTTCTCACATTGACAAGAAAGTATAAGGTGTAAGGGACACTGTTAAAGGAATTGTTGATAATGTATTTCAAGAACCTGGCAGAAATTTCAAATGATGGATTTATATCTTTGAATTTCTTTTCCTCCTGTGGTTGTCAGCATTAGTTAGCATGTTTATTCAGATCACAATTTTCTGTAATACATCTGCTAGTTTTCTGAAACTACCATACGTATTTCCTATTTTTGGTTATGTTATTTTCAGTCTAATTGGGGAGGCAATGTACATATACACACAAAGTGTAGGCTGTGGACTGGTGCCAGACTTTACCTCTGTCATGAGTTAAGTACAGATTGAGAAGAAGCATTTATAAACTCTTAGAGCAGTTTGACAGTAATTTTATACCTGCTGAATACAATAAAATTGATGCTTGAATTTTAACGCTTTTTAAGTTTCATTTTCTTAGTCGTTCATTTTTATTAAATTCTACAAAACTGTTTGTCTCTGATGGATTGGAAATTTAAGAAGAAAACCTGGTTCTCTGCTGCAGATCGTTTCAGAAACACTGTGCATTAGGGAAGAGTATACTTGATCAAACAGCTTGCTGGTGAACAGCTTGTATAAACGCAGTGTAAAAACCAAAAGAAACAAATAATACTTTGTCTTATGTTTTCTGTGGTGTTGCGAGCTCTTTAAGCAGTTTGCACTGTCCACTGTCCTCTGGGAGTTCACATGTGACTGCCTGGCTTTGTTTTCCCTGAAGCCTGTAACTTTGTCATGGGTACTGGTTACGCATGGCCGAGATTCAGCAAGTAGAGAAATATATTTTTCTCTCTAAGCATTATTAGCATAGGTATATCCCATGTAATTATTGCTTACAAGAGATTTTATTTACTGTGCTTGTTGTCTCTTCTGTTCTCTGTGGTTTTGATGTGGGTTTCATTAAGGAAAAATGAATTGACTGTTGTTGCCTCTATTTCTTAGCTAATTGAAGTCTGCCAAATGGATAATTTATAATTTTGGCAAAGTAAAATACATTCTTTGCCTAATTAACAGTAACTTAAAATACATTCTAAATCTCCATTATATTCAAATTGATGCACTTGAAAGTATGTATTATTTCTAAGGTGATTTATTTTGTATTGTAGACTTTTGGGCATGCTATTTGTTTGCATGTAACACTGCTTTCTGTTACATCTTAAGTTTATTAAAATAATTGAACACACCTTGGAACATAATAAGGGAGACTCTGATTCTGAGTATTTAAGTACTTGAACTGTAGAACTTGAACTACAAGCTGTAGTTTGTAGACTCCCAAACTAACCTAGACACGCAAGTGTTGTGCTGATTGGGATCAAGAGAGATTCTGGATGGCCACTTCCAGCTCTTTAATATTAGTCTGTTTCATGTATTTGTTTTTAAAGAATGATTCAACTTAAAAATGCGATTTTCTATTTGGAATTTATACTATGTAGTATGACTTCAGAGAAACCATGTGGAATCGCTTATATCAGGTGTGGAACCATTTATCCCGTGTGCTGAGTTTTTGAATGTGGATATTTCCAAAATAGCTGTAATGGCAGCACTAACTGTTAACCTTCTGCACCCGTGTAATGTGATCCCGTCCTGTAGCTCTTTGCCATTTCTTAGCTAGAAGGCCAGCTTTCAGTCACAGGCACTCTGGGTTAATACAGAGGAGCAGGCAGGAAGAGAGAGCTCAGGAATCTCCTCTTTCATGACAGGGAAGGGTGGGGGATGCCTTGCCATTTCTGTGCCCCATCCTATGCTGTGCAGAATTTTGCTCAGTGGCCTGGGGACCACAAAGCATCAGGAATTGAGAGGATACAACATTTCTTTCCCATGGGCTCTTCTTCTAATGATATCAGGTGGTAGGATAAGAGGAAAAGAAATTGCAGCTGGAACTCTTTTGTTACATTTGTAGGGGGTGAAGGTTTCCTTTGGTGTTGGGCTCACTGGTCCTTTCTGTATAAGCACAGCAGGGCCTGTTGCTGAAGCTGTGCATGGTCTAGAGAAGGGTGTTGAGTTGGGAGAGGAGCAAGTGGAACTGGTAGAGGGATGAGTCGAGCTTTTTTCATTGGACGTCCTGTTCCGAGGCCAAGATCTATGAGGATGCATGTTTCTCTCTGACTAGCTCAGTCTCATCCTGGGCCACATTTCTATTAAGTCACCATTGCCAAATCAGCTGTTGGAGGTAATGTGACCATTTCATTTGTCAGTACAAACCGATCTTGTATTTGGCATTATAAGTACTTGGTCAACAGATCTATGTGGTGAAGAGTGACAGTGATTTCTGTTTAAGCAAGTTGGGAAAAAAGGACCAAGACCGTTTTGTTAGGTATGTTGACAAAAAATACATGTACTTCCATTTTAAAGGAGACTTTAAAAACAAAATTTTATTTTCTCTCAGCAACATTTAACTTCCAAATGTGTGTACTTTTTTTAGATTGATAAAGGAAGCTGGCAAACAAGATCCTGAGCTGGCTTATATCAGTAGCAATTTTATAACTGGACATGGCATTGGGAAGAATCAGCCTCGCAACAAGCAGATGGAAGCAGAATTCAGAAAACAGGAAGAGGTAACTTAAAATAAGTGTACAATAACAGTTTTCAGGACATATACAGACACAGTGCCCATAGGGTCTCCCTTTTTTCAGAGTTCCCCAGAATTATTATTATTTTTTGTATTATGGAATACTTCTTCATATATTAGAGCAGCTGTCCACATAAGGTAGCTGTATAGTGATTTATGTGCTCAGAATTAGAATAGCTATCTGGCAAACCAAATTTGTGTCTTAATTGCCATCAACCAACTTATTTTCTGTGATTGGATTGATGTCACACAACTGCATTTCATGGAAAGACAAAGCATGTATGACCTTAACTCTTGTACATTCCATATGACTATGAGTTAACAAACTGAAATCTTTTCCTAGAAAGTGTTTTCTTTTTTTCATTTAAAGGCCTATTTTGTTTGAATTTTTTAAAAAAACAGCACTATATTTTGTAGATTTTAGCTTAAATGTTGTTGTGCTTTTTAAGGTCTTAATACAGGAAACAGCATTGTAAAGATGCTAAAACCTAATACCATGTTCTGGCTTGTACACAAAAACCTATTTAAAGTTTATTATTTAACTTAAAATTAGCAGAATAATTCCTGTTGAAGGCCTTTTCTACATTGTAGCTGTTTGATAATCTCCAGTTTGGAGAGTCCAGGAGCCAGTCTAATAGATCTAACTGTCTGAAAACTAGCTTATATTACCATTTAATTTATCCTGAATTCGTTAAATCAGCTTCTTTGTCCATGTTTCCATGCATCCTGAGTTTTCAGTGATACTGTCATCTTCTTTAGCCTGGCCTTAAGGATTTAGAATGCCCAAGAGCATGTGTGTCAGAAATAACAGTTGTCATTTACTTTTAGTATGTTTTTTTTTTGTTTTGGAAATTTTCTTAGAAGTGCTTTTCTTGGTGGATTTTTTTTTTTCAGGTACTTAGGAAATTTCGAGCACATGAGACCAACCTGCTTATTGCAACAAGTATTGTAGAAGAGGGTGTTGATATACCAAAATGCAACTTGGTGGTTCGTTTTGATTTGCCCACAGAATATCGATCCTATGTTCAATCTAAAGGAAGAGCAAGGGCACCCATCTCTAATTATATAATGTTAGCAGATACAGACAAAATGAAAAGTTTTGAAGAAGACCTTAAAACCTACAAAGCTATTGAAAAGGTAAGATCAACAGATTAATATATGCTGGCAGATTGGGAAAAAAAATTAATATGGTTTATTTGTTATTCTTTGTATCCATAGAAACAGATAATGAGTTTTATCTACAGGCAATACTCTCAAAAGAGATGTACCCTGTGTACATTGTAAGGAAGTTGAGAATGATTACAAAGACCCAGCAGTGTTATACAAAGTGTTTGAAAGGGCACAATAAGATAACAGTGAAAATGATCATCACATACGTTATTGGGGATGAATGTCTGGGAAATTGCATTGTAAATATGGACAGTAACTGTTGACTGCTTACGTTATTGAGTGATTGGAAAATGATGACATGGTAGTTACATTCAGAAAGACTGACAGTCATGTGTACGTGTGTGTGTGTGTGTGTGTGTGTGTATGTAGGCACGGTACAGTATAGACTTTGTACCATATGGGGAGGTTCTCCATATTATTGGAACTGGGAGGCATTTATTGGACGAAGGTGTCTGCAGCAGGTGACTTTGGAGTATTGAAGTATGTTTAGGAGAGAGAGATATTTTCAAGAGAGTTTTTTCTGTAGGTACAGAGGCAGACAGCATGCGGCAAAGAAGATGTGTTTTCATCATAAGTTCTGTTTTTCAAATGTTCAGATCTTGAGAAACAAGTGTTCCAAGTCGGTTGATACTGGTGAGACTGACATTGATCCTGTCGTGGATGATGATGACGTTTTCCCACCATATGTGTTGAGGCCTGACGATGGTGGTCCACGAGTCACAATCAACACGGCCATTGGACACATCAATAGGTATGGCATCATACCATTTGTGTGGAAAACCTGGGAATGTTGCACAGTTTAAGTCTAAACCTGTACATTTTGTATTGTTTACATTTTGCGGTTACCAGTCTTCTCTTAGACGGGCCATATTTTCGATAAAGAAAAGTTACTTTTTTCATTTTTTTTAATCAAAAGGCAAAAACAGTATTGTGCAGCAATAAAAGTTCAGTATTCCTTGGCAAGGCTAACATGATGAAGGCATTTTAAATTAGGTTTAATTTAATTTTATAATTCTCACCAATTTTTTTCTAAATCCTGAAATTTTTTGTTTTGTGCCATAACCATTGGGTAATGTTGAATTTTCCCCTAGCAATAAAGTAACATTGTATTTTTGGGTACATTGTAATTTACTTTGTCCAGAACTGGTAAAACTTCTAGGAGCCAAGAAGAGCAGATTCTTTGCTGGATTATGCATCAGGATAATTCCTATTCAGAGACGAAATAAAAGAGCAAGTATAAGATTTTCTTTGTAACCTTTTATTTTGAAACAATTTCAGACTTCAAAGTGTTGCAAGAATAGTAGAATTCGCATATGCCCTTCACCTAGACACCAGGAGAGACTCATTCAGTTTCATGAGAATGTTCTTTGTAGCCAAAGAATCCACCTTAGTGTCAGGAGTTGTCCTCATGCCCTATTGTCACATCTTCCTAAATCTCCTTCAATCTGGAACCGTTCTTTAGTTTCTCCTTGACTTTAATGACCTTGAAACTTTGGAAGATGATAGGCCGTCATTTTGTAGTCTGACTCTCAGTCTGGGTTTGTCTGATATTTTCTCACGATGAGACCCAGGTTACACGTTTTTGGGCAGCACGTCACTGAAATGATGGTGTCTTCTCCTCATCCCAGCTTACCAAGTTGCACACCATGTTGATTTGTGTCCTTTCCGGTGGTAACTTAGATCACTTGAGTGACGTCTGCCAGTTTTCTCTACTGTAAAGTTCCCTTTCACCTCTTTTATTATTAGTAAATATTTCATGGGGAGATACGTTGTATAAAAATGTATTCCTCTTCCAAGTTTGATTCATTAGTGTAAGCATTCTTTGATATCTCTGGCCCAAATTGATTATTACTATGATGGCTACTAACTCCATTATTTCTGTATTTATTAGTTGGCATTCTACCATCCATTTCTTCTCTCCATTTATTCGTTCTTATATTATCATTTTTTAATGTCAACGTGAACTTATGGACTCCTGTTTTATTTAATGGGTTATAATCTGTCATTATCATTTACTGTTTGTTTTGATGTTAAAATTGTTTCATATTTGGCCAGTGGGAACCCCTTAAAGCTAGTTTCTGTGTCTTTTTAACATCTCACTATTATTCGTTGAACACTTCCTTGTTTTATGGCACAAGACATCCTTGATGTTGGCAGTTTCCTCAAGTTTAGTGGAGAGTGAGTTGTGGTTAGAAACCGAGAACTGGATACTAAATTTATTCGTTGCTACCGGAGTGTTGCTGCTGCCAGGCTTTTGAGTGGACAGAGCTAGAGTGTTTGTTTGTTCATGTTTACATCTGTATTTGTTTCAGTGTCTGTCTGTTGATACCTGCATTTTCAGTGTGACGCTAGAGGTTTCATTCTAGATTTCCTCTTTTCTGTCTTTGTACCTCCTTTCTCTAATAGTCAGAAGTTGGGCTCCCATTGTCCTCAAAATAATTAGTGTTCAGTCTTCCTGTATGTAGCTGGTCTTCCTGCTCTGTAAGACTGCCCCTGTGGTCAGGTGCCCTTGCTGCACAGGTCACAACCTCACAGGGCTGCTGCCCATTCCAGCACCCTCCTGATGTGAGTCCTGTCCCAGCATCCCTTTCTGGGCTAGCTTTCTGCCCTGCTCCAACCTTCCCTAGTGCTCTTGCTCAGTGAGCTGCTAGTTCTGCTGTCCTTTTTGTGTCAGCACTGGGCTGTCCCGCCCTCTTCTGATGCCTTCCTTGCACGTGTGCTGGTAGTTGGTGGCAGATATAAGATGATTAAGGAGAAAACGTTGGCAGTGTGTTTTCTTACTGGATTCTGAACAATACTTTGTGCTCTATTATGGTAACACTCAACACATGTGGCTATCAAAATTCAATTTAAAATAAAAGAAAAAATGGAGTTTCATAGTTGTACTTGTCACATTTCAAGTGGTCACCAGCCACTGCCCTGCTGGGCATCGAAGATATGGAACATCTTTGCAGAGTTCTGTTAGACAACACTGTTCTGTCTTGTTCAAAGTTTGAAGCAGTAAAGTTTAAATGCCACATATAAATACAAAATCAGTAGAGTGGAAGAGGCACATGACAAATCAAACTTGAGGTTGTAAATATCAATATTTTCTCAGTTGTATATTCAGCCTCAGACTTTCTTTTTCTTCACAGATACTGTGCTAGATTACCAAGTGATCCATTTACTCATCTAGCTCCTAAATGCAGAACCCGAGAGTTGCCTGATGGTACATTTTATTCAACTCTTTACCTGCCAATTAACTCACCTCTTCGAGCCTCCATTGTTGTAAGTTTAGAAAAAGAAATGATTGTTATATTTTAAAATATGTCATTAGTGGATTTTTTTTCAGCTTTTCTAAGACTTGCAATTTATAGGGAAATTTGATTTTAAAATCTGCTTTCATGAGCAGGAGCCTTGTGTTGACAGACCAAAAATAAAAATAAAAACAAATTTACTTCAAAAGTAGATTTATAGATCACTTTTGTAGTCATCTACATGTTCATATTTGTAATAGACTGTCTAATTTACAGATAGTTAGAACTGGACTAGGTGATCTCTGAAGTTTCTTCTAAGGTGTTACTAACATGCACATTTTTGACAGTCATTCAACTGTGGCTTAGACACTTAGAGTGATATAAAATGTATTACGCGTTGTCCTAGTTATTTTGTTGGTGACTGAAAAATCTGCTTTTTGTAATACTGTTCTTGGTCCCAGTACTGATTTCCAAATATTCCAAGATGACTAATTTCTATTGCACATAAAAAGCTGCTCAGTACTATTAATGTTACAGCTGTGTTTTGATAAATCTTTTTGTTACATATTTATTGATTAGTAAAAATAAGATACTTTAAAATCTTACTGAAATTTAAATTCATCAAAATTGTAAAATCTTAATTATGACTTAGTTTTTACTGGGCAGGACTTCTAAAGATGAACATTTCAAATATGGAGATTAGAATTTTTAAAAACTTGCTGGAATTTTTAAAAATAAAGAATTTTGTTTTGGCAAATTGAACTTTAAAGATGTTGGGGCAGTGGTTTCATAGGTGTTTCATGTGCTAGAGGTAATATAGCAATGTGCATATACAATGGAAAGGTTTTTGTTATTTTCAGGGTCCACCAATGAGCTGTGTACGATTGGCTGAAAGAGTTGTAGCTCTCATTTGCTGTGAGAAACTGCACAAAATTGGTAAGGATGTTTGAAAAGCATATACAAATAAAAATAAATTGCAACCATTGTAAGAAAAAAAGCATATAGAGGACTTTATAGATCTCTAAGGATTTTGTAGAGCTATTCACTTGCTGCTCTTAGTGTGCTTTGGTGAATATAAATATAAGTGTTAGTAACTTGAAGATCCTACAGTGTTGTGGGAGCTCTTTATTTTCCATAGCTTAACTGTAAACAACTGTCATTTATTTGCTCTCTTTAATGACTCCTTTTAAATACATAAAGGTATTTTTGTAATTGTTGAATCATGCACCATGAACACTTGTGTTTTAATATATGAGTCTCTCAAGTTAGTCTATACTAGTACAGAAATCAATCCTTTTTTAAAAATGGACTCAGTTTCTTTTTTTTTTCCCTCAATCCTGCTCCTTCTGTGTAAGTGAACCCATTTTCCATGGCCATTTTATTTATCATTGATATGTGCTGATGTCATGTTTAGATGTTTTTGTTTCTGAGCCTTAGAACAGAATTTGCAGTCCTGCTCATATTGGTACATATGGATGCCAAAATAGACTTTGCCTGAAGTGTGAATCTGATTACATTTACATTGTGAAAGGCAAGGGTGCTTTAGTTTCCATTACTTTTCCAGGTCCTTCTAACATAGTTCTATTCTAGATTCTTTACTGATTAAATAGTTAAAATCTGGATTGTGTTAATTCTCTCTTTAAATTTCTTAGGGGAACTGGATGACCATTTGATGCCAGTTGGGAAAGAGACTGTTAAATATGAAGAAGAGCTTGATTTGCATGATGAAGAAGAGACCAGTGTTCCAGGAAGGCCAGGTTCCACGAAACGAAGGCAGTGCTACCCAAAAGCAGTTAGTATTGGTTAGAACAGAGTAAAAATCTAGCATTTCTGACTTCGTTTTCTGCTACATCACATCTCAGCTCCTCTGCTTGGCTGACTTCCCACACCCTTGCAGTTTGGCCCACTCTGGATCTCAGCTCCTTTCTCCAATTCACAGCTTCTCTCAGATCAGCGTCTTTCCTTCCTTATGTAGACTGTGTGCTCTTCCACTTCAGAGGTTGCTTTTATTTTTCTTCTCAAAAGGATTCTTGGACCCATCTCTCATACTCTATCCAGAATGAGGTTATTTAATTTAAATAGACATTCTTTGTTTCATTCATTTTAGTGGTGTGATTCTTGTTTTACTTATGATTTGGGGCTAAGACAGAAGAGGATTTGTATGATAAAATAAGCAAGTGAAAAGATGCCCTCTCAAGATGACAGGTACACTGGAAGGTAGAAGCACAAATATCTGTCAAGAGTTAGGATGTGGGCCATTAGGAATCAAAATAAGTTATTTCCATGGGCTGTTTCCAGCTCAATCTGTGGGCATCCTAGCAGAGCTCACCCATGAAAGCATCTCTAAATCTGACTTCTAGTAATAGACATATTTGGCTGAAGTATTTATTTTAAAAATATTTGTTAATATTTTTACCTCATAAGAACCCCAAGCAAAAGCAGAATTTTGCTATGTGTAGTAGTCCCGCTTACCCTTGGAGGGTATGTTCCAAGACCCACACTACTAAATGCAGTGGAAACTGCAGATAGTACCAATCCTCCAACAGCTCAACGTTGTTTCATTAGAACGTCGACGAAGAAAAATTCATTCCCAGCCAGGGCCACTGTCTCTGTGTGGAGTTGGCACGTTCTCCTCGTGTCTGCTTATTCCGGTTTCCTGCTACATCCCAAAGCTGTGCACATCAGGTGAACTGACATGTCTGCGCTGCCCCACTGTGAGTGAGCATGGGGATGCGTGTGCATGTGCCCTGCCACAGAGTGGTGTCCTCTCCGGGATGGGTTCCCGCACGGGGCCCTGAGCTGCCAGGATAGACTCTGGAACCCTTGGCCCTGAACTGGAATAAGTGGGTGAATAATCATCTTCCTTGTTTTTATTCATCTTTCTTAATTGTATCTATAGCTCACATTTCTTTTAATGCTTAACATTAAAAGTGTTTTTTTAATTTAGAAATTTGGTGATGTTTTTGTGATCAGAAATATGCTGGAGGAATTTAACTGGTTTATGTCAATTAGCCTGTGGGAAAATTGGTTTCTTTCTACCAATTGGTTGTTTCCCTTAGCCAGTTTCTAAGAACCTGCCACAGACATTAAACGAGGACTTATAGCATATATTATGCTTTTAAAAATACGTTTATACATATTTATGATAGTTTAAGATATAAATTAGGCACAGTAATAACAAAATAGAACAATTGTAACCATATACTATAATAAAAGTTACGTGAATGTGATCTCTCTAAAAATACTGTACTGTACACACCTGTTACTGGACCGTGACTGACCTCAGGTACTGAAGCCATGGGGGCTGCAGATAAGCAGGGACTGCTGTGCTTGTATCTCAGCTTAAATATGTGGTTCTTTGGTTTTACTTATGCAGTTTTACCAAGTTTTTACTTTATACAATTTTGCATCCAGCTTAGCATTTTCAGGATTCAGAATCATGTTAGTTTTTTAAAAATCATGAATATTACCCATCTTCCCAAAATGCATGTTTCCCTCATACCAAATTTTCACATGAGACTAGTTTCATGTGATAAAGTCGTTAATGATAAGTGTTTCGAAAAGCATAGTATTGGCTGGGTGTGGTGGCTCACACTTGTGATCCCAGCATTTTGGGAGTCTGAGGCAGGAGGATCACTTGAGGTCAGGAATCCGAGACCAGCCTGGTCAACATGGTGAGACCTTGTCTCTGCAAAAAAAGAAAAGCATAGCACTGCTTGGCATCCTGTTTAATTAATAGATACATTCTTTATTTTCTGATTCTCTGTTAAATATAATGGTCTCTTTTACCAGCATTTTTGTACCTTTTAACTACAGATGCAGTTCTTTTTCATTGAACCTGAGGAACTGCAAGACCATAATCTGAAGGATTGTGTTAATATTGAAAGCCTAGCAGCAATCTCCATTTAATTATGGTTCACTCACATAATGAGGTAGCCATTGCCAATGATGATATTGGTTCGTATTGACTCTGACAGATATTCTCTTTATAGTAATGGGATAAAAATCAGGCTATCTCACAGACACACACATGCCCTAATATATACTAGTGTTGTGTGATTTTATTTGTATTGAAAAATATAAATGTATGTATGTTTCTTTACCTTTATACATTAAAAAGAGTCTAGGAAATTATACAGTATATCAAAATGTTAATAAAGGCTGTCTTTGAGTGATAGGATTATATGTAATTTTTTAAAAATTTGCCTAACTTTATTTCCTGGTACTCTACAGTTAGTACTTAAAAAGCCCAAGGAAGAGATGAATTTTCTTGTCAAAAGAAATAGATCAAATGAATAGTATTTTTAAAAAGGCCCTGCAGTGTTGAATTGTTTTATATATAATTTTGGTATTAGGTATATAGTCAACAGTGCATTATAGTGTATGTGAACTTGGGCCACTATCAGCAGCCCTGGCCTGAGATCCACTGACTTACCCCGCAGGGTTAAGTAATTAAGAGGTGTCATGCCTTGGGTATTTTCTTAGCTTTTTCTCACCAACTTTTAGTAAAGCCAAAATTCGTTTTCTTGCTGACATCTGGAAAAGAGGCTAATATACTTGAGCATGACACTTAATTTTCCTTTCCACCTCTAGATTCCAGAGTGTTTGAGGGATAGTTATCCCAAACCTGATCAGCCCTGTTACCTGTATGTGATAGGAATGGTTTTAACTACACCTTTACCTGATGAACTCAATTTTAGAAGGCGGAAACTCTACCCTCCTGAAGATACCACAAGATGCTTTGGAATACTGACAGCCAAACCCATACCTCAGGTAGATATTTCATAATGACTACTTATGTCAGAAACATCTTGCTTAGAAAAAGAAAAAAGAAAAAACTAGTAGAAAGTACCTTTTGTTACCTCAGTATGTTTAATATTTAAAGATGAAGGTGCCTCTTCTATTTCTGCACTGGAAAGCATCATTTCTCTTCTGAAGTTAACTGTAATGGAATAAAATACCTGTTAATTTTGAGGGGTGCTTTATGTTTCCTTTTGCTAAGATTCCACACTTTCCTGTGTACACACGCTCTGGAGAGGTTACCATATCCATTGAGTTGAAGAAGTCTGGTTTCATGTTGTCTCTACAAATGCTTGAGTTGATTACAAGACTTCACCAGTATATATTCTCACATATTCTTCGGCTTGAAAAACCTGCACTAGAATTTAAACCTACAGACGCTGATTCAGCATACTGTGTTCTACCTCTTAATGTTGGTAAGAAAAAAATCTCTTACTTTGATGACTCTAAATTAGATACATATACAGATATACAGCTTAGGTATGAAACTTATCTGTATCTTGTTTTAACAAGCTAAAGAATCGTTTTTCTCTTCTAAGTTAATGACTCCAGCACTTTGGATATTGACTTTAAATTCATGGAAGATATTGAGAAGTCTGAAGCTCGCATAGGCATTCCCAGTACAAAATATACAAAAGAAACACCCTTTGTTTTTAAATTAGAAGATTACCAAGATGCAGTTATCATTCCAAGGTAGGTATTTAAATGGAAAGAAAAATGATGGTGATACTTTGTTTTAAAAGATGCACTAGGTCGGACTCAGTGGCTCATGCCTGCAATCACAGCACTTTGGGAGGCCAGGGCGGGTGGATTATGAGGTCAGGAGATCGAGACCATCCTGGCCAGCATGGTGAAGCCTCATCTCAACTAAAAATACAAAAAATTAGCCAGACGTGGCGGTGCATGCCTGTAGTCCCAGTTACTCGGGAGGCTTGAGGCAGGGCAATCACTTCAAGCTGGGAGGTGGAGACTGCAGCAAGGGGAGATCGTGCCACTGCACTCCAAGACACAGCAAGACTCTCTCTCAAAAAAAAAAACACTTATTCACGTGGGAATATAAGTGGACTGTGACTTTAGCATTGTAATTACTAATAGGAAATATATTAGTTCGTCAGGCATGGTGATGCATGCTGTAATCATAGCTACTCGGAGCTGAGGTGGGAGGATTGCTTCAGTCCAGGATTTGTAGGCTGTGCAGTAAGCTGTGATCACACCACTGCACTCCAGCCTGGTCAACAGATCGGGGGAAGAAAAAGAAAGAAAAGAAAATATAGGTAATTTCTTAAGGTTGACCTGTTCTCTCCAGTTTACTTGCTTACAAAATAAAACCTAAAACATTATAGATAAGGAATTTTCCTTTGTAAAGGGTCAGATAATTTAATGTTGGTAGGCTTTCTTCTTAAAATCTCCATCCTTTTAGTCTCCAAAGTCTTATAGAATTTGATTATAATGATTTCATTTCTTAAAATTTTTATAAGGAATATTAAGCTCTATGAAAATAGTAAATCCAGAATGATTTTCTTTTCTATAAAAGTTTAGGGAATGGAGTTTTGGGGCAATAAAATACAGACAGTTTTCAAATAATTATAGTACTAGTTATAATTCATCTTTGATTTTTTTTTCCTTTTTGCACCTCAAAACCATATTTTAGTTATCAGGACTATCGTAGTCATAGATGATGCAGTAATACTTTTATATGACAAGTATCTTTAATGTTTAGCATTAGTAATATGCAAAGTATTTATTTGCATAGTGTACATTTTTTACACTGTTTATATTGATAAAATAGATATGTAAAGGTACCATTTAGCTTCATGTGTTATCAAAATGTAGATATTTAGAACAAGAATTAATAATAAAGTAGGACAATAATGTGTCTGTTTTTACTTAATAAAAATACAGTTGTTATATACTTGAAATATATTTGGAATAAAAATTTTTGTTACTTATTTTTAATCTTTTGAATTCTTAATCATAATTTCCATACTAAAAACAGTTGTGTTTTGAGAACAGTTGATTTAAACCAAAAAGCAACTGATTGTTTTTTGTTTTTCTTTTTTAGATATCGCAATTTTGATCAGCCTCATCGATTTTATGTAGCTGATGTGTACACTGATCTTACCCCACTCAGTAAATTTCCTTCCCCTGAGTATGAAACTTTTGCAGAATATTATAAAACAAAGTATAACCTTGACCTAACCAATCTCAACCAGCCACTGCTGGATGTGGACCATACATCTTCAAGGTAAGAAGCTTCAGAGATGACAGTTGGAATTGCACTTGAGGCATTCTTACCAGACATCACTAGACACGCAGAGGTTCACTGTCTGCCTGCCCACTGGTGGACTCTCTGAAATCAGGAGATGCTTTGCACACAAACTTGCCCAAGGGGTAGCCCAGGAGGCTGCAATTTAAATGAGCTCTTCAGATGATTTTCGAGCACAGTGAAGTTGGAGAACCACTATGAATATGTATGCATTTTTGTGTGTTTGATAAAATTGTTTTGGAATTCTTACAGACTTAATCTTTTGACACCTCGACATTTGAATCAGAAGGGGAAAGCTCTTCCTTTAAGCAGTGCTGAGAAGAGGAAAGCCAAATGGGAAAGTCTGCAGAATAAACAGGTAATGATAGTTCATTGTACTAGCATAACTTAGTATTTGTTTGGGTATTAAAGATTATTAAAGATAAGTTTGAATTTTATCTTATCAAGTTTAATGCATGATTCGTTCATTTTTTTAGAAGTTACCTAATCCTCAGATTTTGTTTTGTTTTAATCAGTATTATTGTTGAATGTTATTTGAATGTTCTTTTTGGTAAGTATTGAGAGTTTTGTTTTTATACTTAGCCCATTAATATATCACAAAATCATTCTCATAAATCCTGTGATAAATCCCGTTTGGGCTTAGGGATTATTTTTACAAATTTTTTTAAAATTAAGTTTTACTAGCATTTATGATTTTCTTTATCCATTAGTGAAATTGGTCTTTTTTTTTTAATTCTTTTGTGTGTGCGCTTTGTATTTATCTGTCCGTTTTTCCCCTTACTTGAAGATACTGGTTCCAGAACTCTGTGCTATACATCCGATTCCAGCATCACTGTGGAGAAAAGCAGTTTGTCTCCCCAGCATCCTTTATCGCCTTCACTGCCTTTTGACTGCAGAGGAGCTGAGAGCCCAGACTGCCAGCGATGCTGGCGTGGGAGTCAGATCACTTCCTGCGGATTTTAGGTATGCCTGTGCAGTTGGCCAGAAAGAACACAGATCATGAGATCCTGGTTGCAGAAGAACAGAATTCAGTTAAAATTGTATATAACATAATTCTTAGTAGAAAGAAAATATAGATATCGTTTGTTCTTGTCAAGTCTCAGAGGGAGATGAGAATCTGAGGTCAGAATTAACCATTACTACTTAAGCCGTTAACAGTTGGAGTGAGAATGAATTTGTTTTTTGTTACTGCATCAGCATTTTCAATCTGTTTTTTGTTTTAAAAATCCAAACATATGTTAAAAACAACCTTAGAATGTTCTTTGTCTTCATTATTTTCTTCCCATTGGTAAAATCTCTGCATTCTACAAAAACTATTGGCTTAAGCACTCACATTAATTTTGGTTATCCAATTGGCAATATCACGACTGTTCTAGGGACTGAAAGGAATTTTAAAATATAATAGGAATAACCACAGTATTTATTGAGTAGTTACTACAGTGCCAAACACTAGCTTAAATGCTGTACCCTGTGTCAATTAGCTCATTTAATCATTAAGACAGTGCTGTGAGATAGGAACTGTTAGCCCTTTTCTCAGGTGCAGAAGCTGAGGCACAGAGAGTTTCTGTAAGTTGCCCAGAGTTACTCAGTGGGTTAACCAGAGTGCCTGGGATTCCAACCCATGAAGCTAGGCCCCAGTTCCTGCAGGATGCCTGCAAGCTTCATGACATTCTTAACTACCACACCTAGAGTCTAGGGCCGGGGATTAAAGCAGTAGAGAAAACCATGTCCCACTTTATAATTTACATTGTGCAGAATTCCAAATAATGTTAAATTCTGGCTTGGAAACTTACTTCTCTTCTAAAGTTTAGGAGTACATTTTTGGGATCTTTGTTTTTGTTTTTAAATTCAAATTGCTGTTGCTCTCAGCCTAGCTGTCTCGAAGAATCTGATATAAAGTTATAAAAATGTCTTTGCAGATACCCTAACTTAGACTTCGGGTGGAAAAAGTCTATCGACAGCAAATCTTTCATCTCAAATTCTAACTCCTCTTCAGCGGAAAATGATAATTACTGTAAGCACAGCACAATTGTCCCTGAAAATGCTGCACATCAAGGTGCTAATAGAACCTCCTCTCTAGAAAATCATGACCAAATGTCTGTGAACTGCAGAACGTTGCTCAGCGAGTCCCCTGGTAAGCTCCATGTTGAAGTTTCAGCAGATCTTACAGCAATTAATGGTCTTTCTTACAATCAAAATCTCGCCAATGGCAGTTATGACTTAGCTAACAGAGACTTTTGCCAAGGAAATCAGCTGAATTACTACAAGCAGGAAATACCCGTGCAACCAACTACCTCATATTCCATTCAGAATTTATACAATTATGAGAACCAGCCCAGCGATGAATGTACTCTCCTGAGTAATAAATACCTTGATGGAAATGCTAACAAATCTACCTCAGATGGAAGTCCCATGATGGCCGTAATGCCTGGTACGACAGACGCTATTCAAGTGCTCAAGGGCAGGATGGATTCTGAGCAGAGCCCTTCTATTGGGTACTCCTCAAGGACTCTTGGCCCCAATCCTGGACTTATTCTTCAGGCTTTGACTCTGTCAAACGCTAGTGATGGATTTAACCTGGAGCGGCTTGAAATGCTTGGCGACTCCTTTTTAAAGCATGCCATCACCACGTATCTGTTTTGCACTTACCCTGATGCTCATGAGGGCCGCCTTTCATATATGAGAAGCAAAAAGGTAAGAGATGATTTTTTTATTTTGAGCAGTTAATTATTCAGTGTGCCTGAAAGTGGTTTGCAGTGTTGGATAATCTCAGAGGATGAGAATGTATCATGCTCAGAAATTGCTGCACTGGCTGAGCACAGCTGCTCCCTTGTTCTAGCAGGGCCAGCGAAAGCCTGTGGCAGAACCACCTGGCAGTAGATGACTATTGCTTTACATCGACCCCACACTCAAGTTTTGGGGCTTGGCTGATCTCCATGTGTCTTACTTTTTGATTGAAATTCAGTTCAAAGGAAACTATGCAGGAGTGTACACCTCTTGATCCTGATTTGAAGAAATGTGCATTATAGTCAGTCAAGGAGCTTCTGCTTTGTTGAATTAAACGTTTATTTGAGAGGGTACATCTTGGCTTACAAGGCGTATAGACAGGAGTAAGACGCAAGTCTTGTGGAGGGGCTCATCCCCGAAGTTTTGGAGAGTGGAGGGGAGAGAGTAGCAACAGGCTTCACAGAGCTTGACTGCCGTCCAGTGTGAAGAGGGTGACACCGGAGTTGTGAGTAATAAACGCTCCATAGCTCCGAGGAAGAGCGGGCTCTTAAGCTCAGCATGGACTAAGACTTAAGAAAAGGATTGAAGGTAAGATATTCAAGTTATGGTGGGAAAAAATGGAAAAAGAAGTGTCACCAGGCAACATGAGCCTCCTGGACAAGTACCTTAGAGAGCTGCCGATCACTTGCAGCACTTAGAAGGAAGGAAGGAGCATCACTGTTGAATCAAGGATGGCATCAATGGAGGAGGCAAGTTGACAGTGCATAAGCAAAGTGAACAGATGGCAGAGCATGTCAGTGTCAGGGAAGCAGCCGTGGCAGCAGTTGGAAGTGTGGAAATACCTGAGAAAAGACTTGAAAAGGCAGGTATGGTGAAGCTGTGTCGTGGAAGGCCTTGAATGCTGGGCTGAGGAGTTTGCACGTGTTTTGAGTGTTGTAGGCACTGTTGAAGGAATTTGGAGCAAGGAACTATTAATAAAGTGGTAGTTTAAAATGATTAATCTGGTAGCAGAATGTAGTGTGAGTTGAAAAGCAAATCCAAACCAACAGCAGAAGCAGAAAATGTTATAGAACTAGAGTTCTGGTAGAGAGGAAGGGGCTGAGGTGAGTGAGAAGAAATAATTTTAGCTAACAGTTTAAAAGTGCTTACTCTGCACTACTCTAAAAGGTAATCGTATACACACACACGTACACACACATGTACACACACACACATATATACATATATATAAGCCTAATTTAATTTTTACAATTCTGAGAGGTTAATTTTCCCCATTTTATAGGTGAAGATAGGCTAGAGAAGTTAGCTTGTCCAAGGTCACTTGGCAAGCAAGTGGCAGAGCTTGGGTTGAATCCAGACAGCCTGGCTTTGGAGACCTTGCTCTTCCCCATCACACTAGCCGCTTGGGATAGAACTATCACAACAGGCAGCACACCAAGCATTTCCCCGGTGTTCACTCGTTTACTCTTCTCTAAGCCTCTGGGAAGGAGCCGACACATCCCTGTTTTGCAGATGAGGGGACTCACACTTAGTCGAATGGGCTCCTGTCAGGTCACCTAACTGTTCATCCAGGAGAGTCGGGAGTGTGTCCGAGGTCTCCCAGGATGATCTTGAGGTGGACTGGAGGCACAGTCGTAACAACCATGTAAACTGGCAACTTGGGGGCAGGGGCAGTGGCAGTAGCAGGGAGGTAGGGAGAAATGTGGGATGTCAAGGTTAGAGTTGAGGTTTTAGACCTCATGGAATATGAAGTGGAAATGTTCAGATAATTGAGGCTGTAGGATTCAGATACGGTTTTATAGAGTAGTCGCCATATGGAGGCTCTGAGAACGGATGAGATTTCCAAGAGGTGGTTGCAGGAAGAAAGTATCAGAGGCTTCGACAGGTGTGGCATAGGCAGTAGGATAGGATACTCTGTTAGATAAGATAAGACAGAGGTGGCTTTCTATTACAAAACTTGTCCATTTGTCTGCTCAGAAACCTTCAACTTATTTCTGCAGAAAGAATGATCACTCCCTCAGCCTGCTGTTCAGGCCCTTTCAGCCCTGATGCGTTTTGGATCCTAACCAGGTGGAAGCCCCTTGCAGCTCATTGGACAGACTCCATGCTCAGACCCCCAGCCTTGGGGCCCTTGCTCTGTCCTTCCTTCTGCAGAGTGCTCGCCCCCGTCTCTATGTGTCCAGAATTTTGCCCCATATCTGAGACCTTACGTAACTCTTTCTTCTTCATCCCGCCCACCGTTTCTGTCAACTTGGAATGTGATTTCCCTCCCGTGGGTCCACGTTGCACTTTATCCTCTTCTTGGCACTTGTGATGCTTTGTTCTCTTAGCTTGGAAAGGGAAGCTGGCAGTTACTTCAGCCTGCTACGTTTCAGGCAGAGAGGGAGAGTACTTTTGGCCATAGTGGTCACACGTGCACTCCTTTTCCCTGCCAGCCTGTGTGTCACGAGGACTGCCCCTCTGTCCTGCTGCCGTGATTCCCTCAGGGTTGCCCAGTCGAGTGCCTCTCACTTGGGGGGTGTCTATTAAACAATAGTTGAGTTACATGGGAAGAGGGCTAATGAAGTACTTAATGAACCCAGCTTTATGAAAATGAAAATGGGATTGACAATTCTAGACCCTAGTTTCCAAGTAATAACTTGACAGAAATGCAATGATGTGAGCAAATTAGGAAGGAGATAGAGGCATTAGGAAAAACAGACCGGAGTGGAGGATAGACAGTAAAGCTGTTCCATTAATATAAATAAACAAACCTTTTGGTTCATTTTTTTAAAAGCTGAATACAAGTGTCTTGAAATGCCTGTAAAACAAAGGAGTAATATTTGAGAGAGCATTACAGTTGAAATCCCATTTGTGGCTTCCATTCTAGGAATGTAACAGTTTCAGTTTTGTTTGGTGCCAGTTTTCACTTTGCAACTAGAGCTGATGGCATCCTCCCCCCATTTCATTGAAAATATTGTGACGTCTTGACTTTTTATATGGGTTCTTTTCTACTTTGGTAATTCCAATTAGCAGTTTGCATTTTATATCATCAGGTTGTATTTTCAAGGCTTTGATATTGTCTGAATTGTTTCTTCTCAGTCATTCATAAAGAATTTGCATAGCTGTATACATTATTTTTTCGGCTCTGCATCTTATATTCAGAAATACTTGCACCAAAAAAGTATAGAATATGTGGGAATTTAATATTCTTTTTATAACATGAATGGGTAGAAAAACTGTAGAGCCCTTATACTTAATTGATGACCATATAATTAATTTATTAATTTGAGGAACATTTAACTGAGGATATGTTAATATGCCTTGAATGAATTCCAGCAGTGGTCATTTATGGATAAGTATCCTAATATTTTCTGCTAAAGGTCAGCAACTGTAATCTGTATCGCCTTGGAAAAAAGAAGGGACTGCCCAGCCGCATGGTGGTGTCAATATTTGATCCCCCTGTAAACTGGCTTCCTCCTGGTTATGTAGTAAATCAAGACAAAAGCAACACAGATAAATGGGAAAAAGATGAAATGGTAAGTTTGTGTGTGTGTGTGTGTGTGTGTGTGTGTGTGTGTGTGTGTGTGTAACTGGAGGGATTTACTTTTTGGTGAGCCAAAGAATTTTGTTTTATTAATTTTTTGTTTCATTTTCTTGGTGTGTTTATAATAGAGTAGATGTTTGATATATTTAATTAATTCCTTTAAATACACTGTCTTTTCACTGAATTCAGAAATAGTGTTATAATTTTGATGGAGGCAAATTTCTATTTTTATTCTTTTCCAAAGGCATAGAGTATGTGATGTTTTGACTTTGAGTTTTGCTCTTTAAAAAAAAAATTTCACTTTGCTGTTATTACAATTTATCCTAGATCCTTAGCTCTGTTCAGTGATATGACTTTTCAGTGACCTGTGATCTCCAGTCTGTCTGTGAAATAATTAATTTCAATAAAATCTTGCTTTTGTAGCTCAGGGTTTTCTCAGTCAGGACTCCTGTGAACTTAAAAAAAATATATCATCCATAAAGATTGTTATTTTCTGGAAATAATTTAAATCTTGCCAGTGTCTTAAGAAGACTCTACATATCAGCAACAGCTGCTTCATTTTGTCTTGTCTTGAAGGCCACCAGAGGGCACTTGGGAGGGCCTCTGAGCTGCAGGAATCAGTGCGGTGGTGGTTGACTGGGGGAGTTCTAGTGCCTCTTCCAAAGTGAAAGGCAATGCTTCAGACAGTTTCATTTCCTGGAGATTTATTTTGCATTAAAGATAAATTGGCTCATTGTTACTTCATTTTTACTTCAGGCCAACAATGATAATGCCATTTTTTTCTTTCACAGGTTATATTTTTAAATATACATTTTCTTCATGTCTTCTTTCTGATACGTGTATCTTATATATCTGCCTTTAAGTATTTCCAGGTAGCATGTTCTGTGACACTATTCAGATTTTTTATCTATTTATTGAGGATGTTTTTAACTCATGTAGTATTTGTCTTATTACAGAATTAGAACTTATTTGGAAAGCGTTAAGGGAATATTTTAATGCAAGTTAGGTCCAAACAATTATTTGTTACTAATTTAGAAATATGTAGAACCTTAGAGGAAAATACATAGATTTTGAACTTTAGAAATGGCATTGTATTTCTACGAATAACATTCCAATAACAGTCATCTTCTTTTATTAATACCGTTTCGTAATGTATTTGGCTCTTTTTAAAAACTTGTAGCATAAAGGTGACATTGCCATGTCATACTGATTTTTTTTTTAAGATACAACACAAAGTTCAATTTATTTTTCTTAATGTTTATGATGACACTTTGGTTATTGGAATTCATTAGAAATACTGTTCAGATTTTTATTTAGTAACTTATTTTTATTGAAATATAGGCCCTTGCATTATGTTGAAAAGATACTCTGTGGTTTTGGCTGGTTGCATTGTCGTTCTCCCTACCTTGCTCTGGCCCTTCAGCAAATGGGCTTAAGTGAAAACCTTTGCATGCTAAAACGCCTCTTGATAGAAGAAAGTATCAAAGTTGACTTGAATGATACAGGAAAGGATTTCATGTGGCTGTTTTTTCTTAAAAGGTTTGAAGTACTCTTGAAAAACATTTTATGAGGTAGAACCCCACTCTTTTGTAGATGAAGAATCTGAAACCTAGAGGCACTAAAAGGCTTTGCCCGGGATCACACAGTTGGTGATAAAAGTCAGCCCTTTGTGATTTTTGTGCTCTGCCACTTTTGGCTTATGGTAGCACCTTTCTAAAGATACAGAAAGTTTTTTTCAATTAAAAAAAAATGTATGATTTTTTAAAATTGCAGTTTGGCCCTTTTTTTCTTAAGGACCAAACAGTAATCTAAAACATCTTCATAATGCCTTGGAAAGTATAAGGTTTTTAGCAGGAAATGTTCCTTGAGGTCTGCCACTGTAGTTGCTTTTGGTGTTCTTCCTTTTTCTTGAAAAGATGTTTTTTTCTTAATTAAAACAGTGAAAAGATAGATATAGTCCGGCTTACTGCTATTTATTTTCAGACAAATATAGTGTTTATATCTTGAGTCTAGTTTAAAATGAAATATTTGTAGTATTTAAAAAAATGCCTGAAGGTTACAACATTTTTTGGTCAGAACACTCTGGAAAGTTGTTACAGTCAACGTTGATGCACACCCTTCGCCTTCCCCCCTCACAAGTAAAGTTTTTTGGTTCTTTAAAAACTTGCATAACAGAAATTTGGCATCTTTCTAGGATTGCAAAAAAGTTACATCATTACTGAAATCTAGCCCATTATTAAGGTTGTCACTCACAAATAAGCTTTTGCCAAAGAAATTGGAATTAGCAAAGATCTTTTGACAGAAATTGGATTGTTGTGTTTCATGTTAGTCTAAATTTTCTTCCATTTTTGTCAGTTATGCTATAATCTGTTCCCCTGATTACTGTAGCTCAGAGTGGAGGGGAAAAGCATAATTTCTCAAATTCGTAGCTTAGTGCAGTGATCACTTTTATTTTTTAAGCAAAGCAGTGTAGTTTTTTGTGGCAAGTATACTTCGAAGTGGAAATAGGGACAAAAACTTTATTATAAAATCCTATTGTACATTTTAAAAATTGATTTTATCTGTTTTTATATTATATGCTGAATTGCAAAGGTAATGCTTTTCTACATCTGGAATTTCATTTTATTAATTTGAAAATCAAATTACCACATTTTCAAATTTTGTCAGCAAAATTGAAGATCTGTGTGATCAGCATATGAGTGCTTTCATTGTGTGTCCTACCGGAGTTAGACTTCTTAGTTGAAGTTTTGCATTGTGGACATTAATTTTAACTTGATATCCATGTTCAAAATCCTTAACTTAAAGCTTCATACTGGATAAAGGTCATTTTATAACTTAGAAAACGAACATTCAAAGAACATGTTTTACTTTGTTTATATGATTAAATAACTTATTTTATGTTAATTGAAAACAAATGGCCATGATTTTAAAGTTGCCTTTTAGTATTTGTGGTTGTCATTTGAAATTATCCATAACCCTTGCTTTTATTGAGTTTCAAACCCTTTTAAAAACAGCAGCGATGTCTCCCCTCCTGCCCCATTCCCCCTCGTTTCAGACAAAAGACTGCATGCTGGCGAATGGTAAACTGGATGAGGACTACGAGGAGGAGGATGAGGAGGAAGAGAGCCTGATGTGGAGGGCTCCGAAGGAAGAGGCTGACTATGAAGATGATTTCCTGGAGTATGATCAGGAACATATCAGATTTATAGATAATATGTTAATGGGGTCAGGAGCTTTTGTAAAGAAAATCTCTCTTTCTCCTTTTTCAACCACTGATTCTGCATATGAATGGAAAATGCCCAAAAAGTCCTCCTTAGGTAGTATGCCATTTTCATCAGATTTTGAGGATTTTGACTACAGCTCTTGGGATGCAATGTGCTATCTGGATCCTAGCAAAGCTGTTGAAGAAGATGACTTTGTGGTGGGGTTCTGGAATCCATCCGAAGAAAGCTGTGGTGTTGACACGGGAAAGCAGTCCATTTCTTACGACTTGCACACTGAGCAGTGCATTGCTGACAAAAGCATAGCGGACTGTGTGGAAGCCCTGCTGGGCTGCTATTTAACCAGCTGTGGGGAGAGGGCTGCTCAGCTTTTCCTCTGTTCACTGGGGCTGAAGGTGCTCCCGGTAATTAAAAGGACTGATCGGGAAAAGGCCCTGTGCCCTACTCGGGAGAATTTCAACAGCCAACAAAAGAACCTTTCAGTGAGCTGTGCTGCTGCTTCTGTGGCCAGTTCACGCTCTTCTGTATTGAAAGACTTGGAATATGGTTGTTTGAAGATTCCACCAAGATGTATGTTTGATCATCCAGATGCAGATAAAACACTGAATCACCTTATATCGGGGTTTGAAAATTTTGAAAAGAAAATCAACTACAGATTCAAGAATAAGGCTTACCTTCTCCAGGCTTTTACACATGCCTCCTACCACTACAATACTATCACTGGTAAGGAGCCCACAACCAAACTGCATTTCTGGGAAAATGAGACTTTGTGTTTATCACATTGTGTTGGCCTTGTAAAAGGTGATCTATGCATGTACAGTGTTTGTGCTTAATATTCAAGGGATGGGGCGGGGAACAAAAGGAAAAGAAAGAGTTCTTTTCTTTATTATTTGGGGAGCACGTATTGCTTTATAACTTTGGTTGTTGGGAGTATGGCTATCATGTTATACCCTCATCAGTGTCATTTTATATGCTGCCTAATTAGAGAAATTTGAACCTTAGTATTTCGATGTGGTTTCCCCATTTTATCCTCCCCAGGTATCTTTCTCTTGCCCATTCAGTGCTGCTTTTGGTTTTTGATTTAGTTGTATATTCTGGATGTATTTCCACAGCCTTTTATTGTTCTTCTTGGACAAAAAGACTCCTCCTTTAGGGTCTTGTTAAAGATGGATAGAATAAAAGATTAACAGCAATGATTTCACAAGAAGGTTGCGTGGCCCTTGCTGTGACTCTGCTGTCATCTTCTACTTCTCACTGTGCTCTGTATTTTCCCCCCCTTTAATAGGCTGTCAACCCATTAGATTAGAAGGGAGAACAAGCCCCTCACACCCAAATCAGCTTCAGGTTGTGAAACACAGCTGAAGTTTACATTTCGATTTCTGTATTGGAGGTATAAGTGCCTGAATTCAGAATACCAAAGCAAAATATAAAATTTGTAGTTTGTATAATAAAAACAGTGTAGGTTAAGGTGATCAGCAAAATGTAAAAACCAAAAAGTGAAAAACTATCTGACTCTGGGCTAGAAAGACTGATGAAACTAAAGCCTAATTTTCATTATGGAGGAAAAGTGATACATGGCTTTCAACTACATTCTGCTGGAAGTTCCGAGACCTGGGTTCTCTCCTAGCACAGTCCCTGCTTCTTAACTTCTTGCTTATTCTGGGACAAGTCACCATCGGTCCCTGCCTCAGTTTCCTCAGGTGGATGTATTATTTTAATCACTGTGAGAAAATAGAGATGTTGATTTAACATGGATCAGTTTCACAAAATGACAACCAGTTTACCTGCCTTGGCTTCCTTTCACAGCTCTTCTTTCTCAATCTCTTGGTTTGTGGTAAATTCATTTCTATAATAGCGCAAGTTAAGAAGAGAGTCTTCTTTTCCTGTCATCCTGTGTAACAAAAATAACGCAGGAATAGCGAGGAATGGTATCACTTATGCACACATTCCAGAGTGTGAATGAGACTTTAGCGATAGCAGTGCGGTGTAGCCACATGGAGAGGTGTGTGCGGCCCTGGTTTCACTTAAGTGACGATGTGTGAGGGAGACTCGAGGGGAAGGTCCCAGCACCTACCTGCCCAGACAGCACAGTGCCAGAGAAAAGCGTTCAGTGATCATGATAGCGCCTGTGAGGTTTTGGTTTTTCCTTCTTAACAAGCATTTAGTCTTTTGACCACTTGAAGATTTTATGACCCCAATTTATATAAGAAATGTACTTAATTTGCCATTAAAATTTAGTTTCCGGAGGCCTTTTAGTATGATATGTCAAATTTCCTTATTGAAGAATATATGTGTGAAAATGATTTAAATACAAATCTTCTTGGGATTTGGGGATCAGTTGCCTATGTGGGGATAGTGTAAATGCTTCTGCACAAGCTTACGGTTCCACTTTGGATCCCCTCAGATTGTTACCAGCGCTTAGAATTCCTAGGAGATGCGATTTTGGACTACCTCATAACCAAGCACCTTTATGAAGACCCGCGGCAGCACTCCCCGGGGGTCCTGACGGACCTGCGGTCTGCCCTGGTCAACAACACCATCTTTGCATCGCTGGCTGTAAAGTACGACTACCACAAATACTTCAAAGCTGTCTCTCCTGAGCTCTTCCACGTCATCGATGACTTTGTGCAGTTTCAGCTTGAGAAGAATGAAATGCAAGGAATGGATTCTGAGGTTAGTGCTGTTCAAAACGATGTTGAAAAAAGCGATCTGACTAGGGGTCTCAGTAATTTCAGAGTTCTGACTGCATAGTGGTCAAAAGGGACAGCGAGAGGTCAGGGGTGTGGGACCCAGTGTGCTGTGTTCTCTGGGAGCACTGAGTGAACTGCAGTTTGCAGGTAGGCCTCTTAAACTTGTCTGCCCCCTCTGTGGACTGTGTGGTCATTCATGTGAAGAGAAGGAGCCAGGCCTTTCAGTTATGTGCCCTTCCCACACCTTCATGAAGGCTTCCAGCATTGAGGCATGACGAAGAAGTGGCCACCACTGCCGGACCCCAGGGCAGGTTTAGCTTTAGTAAAAGCCCAGTGTAGTTTATTCTTCCTTTTTAAAATGGATCAGAAATATTTGCTGATATCTCAGGGAAGCATCGTAAATATACGTTGTGCTTCTACTTGAAGTGGGAAAATCTAGTTTAAAAAACAAACTTCTAAATTTTTGACCATTGGAATTTGGGAGGCTTCTGTTGTAAGTTCAGCCAAAGGCTCTCTGGTGACGGAGCTAATTCTAATGTGTTTGTGAGCTATTTTGAATTTTTGTAGGAAAGGATATTGCTTAGATCTTTCCAGTCTCTTACATTCATCTGCATACCTGTATCCCCCAGAGAGACTCTCATTTCCTCTTCTTCCAATTTCATTTCCTTTGATTTTCTTATTTTTGTAGATTTTCCTATAAGGAGTCAAGAAATACAGACTTAACACTAGTAGCTGTTTTAGTTGTCCTTGCTTTAATTTGTACCTTCCCCTTTTTAATTGCACCAAGCCTTTGTTGGGGAGTAGTGAATTTCTCTTTCTATGAGAAAAATTAAGAGTAGGTTTGAAGTCTAGCCACAGAGCCAAGTTCATGTCCTGCCAGCTGCCCAGATGTGCACCAGAGGAGTCAGAAGGCCCTGCTCTTACTTCACCGCGCCTCTGTGCTCTTGTCCAAGATGAATAGTCTGAGCTGGAGTGCGGCAGGCCGTGAGGCGAGAAGGTGGTACCAGCTCGTAGACTTCTAAGTGTTATCTAGTCTCATTCTTTAGAAATAGCTAAGCTTGAAATTTGAGGAATTAGCTAAAATTAGATGTAAGCTGTCTTTGGATGCCAGTGGGGCATATTGGTTTTGTTAGTTTTTGTTCATTCTTTTCCTTCCCTTTGTTTATATAAACATATGTATAGAAGTTACATGAACTGATTGGAAATGTCATGGTCTGGCATTTCTAACTTACTATTTGATCTTAAGAAAGTCTCTTTACCTCTCTGGGCCTCCGTTTCCTCAGCTGTAAAAAGAGAGAATTAAACTTGGTAAGTTTTAAAATTCCTTTCTATCAAAACCATAATATGTGAACAATAAGTCTGCTTTTTAAGTAATCAGCAGTATAAATGTATTATATAGAACTTTGTATGGCTAAACAACCTATTAGAAATTAGTATTTTCCCACTTTTTCTTTATTTCTTTCACAAATGATTTGTGTTGATTTTAGAAAAGTTAGTACAAGTAAATAAAAAGAAAATTAGTTAAATTTGCCTGATTATGCTACCTCAGAAATAACCAATATTAACATTTTGGGATGAATTGTAGATGTATATAGATAAAAACATATCTAAAATGGAAAATGGAATTCTGTTATCTATAGGATACTGTAACCTGTTCTTTTCACGTGTAATATGTTGTGGCTGACTTTCCCTGTATTGATTGGTATCATGATGCTCAGGAGCCACATGCTAGTCAACACGTGGCTGATGTATTTAAATGGTTCTTTATGGCTGAGTAGTTAAGTAGTTTTTGGTTAGGATGTTTAATAACCGTGGATGTGATAAGTACGCTTATGTACTTAGTTACCTCCTTAAAATAAGTTCTTAGAGATACAATTGCTGCATCAAAGAATTGTGAACTTTTCAAAGGCTTTTGATATAGACGTATGATTTTATTTTATTAATTTGCATACCTGCTATGTCAGATACTCCGTTATAGTGAACACATATCTAGTGGCTTAATGAAGAGGGAACTTGGAGGAAAAAAATCTTTCAAGTAGAATTTCCCTGTTTCCCTACAATAGCGATTTCTGCTCCCCAAAGCAGCATACACCCGTGCCAGCACCAGACCAATTAGTACTACTGAATGCTTGCCAAGCAGCTAGGGGGTAGAACTGTTTTAAAGTACAATTCTTTGATTATGAGTGAATTTGAATTTTTTTCATACTTTTATTGACTATTTCTAATTCTGTGTTAAAGTTGTTCAAATTTAGAAGTAATCTTTTTTCTTTACTGGGTATAGAATAATAAATGGGTTGGGGATTTTTTTCTTTTTTTCTTGAGAAGTTTGAAAATTTTTTTTAAAAGATAACATTTGTTTTACTATTACAATATAGTAGGCATACCATAAGTGGTATTTCCCCCCTTATTAAAGAAGTCACAAAAGTCATATATCCAAGAAAAGAAACTACATCTGTGGACTGCCTGTAAAATGGCCTTTTTGCTTATAAGTCACTTTTCTCTCTGTAATAGCTTAGGAGATCCGAGGAGGATGAAGAGAAAGAAGAGGATATTGAAGTTCCAAAGGCCATGGGGGATATTTTTGAGTCGCTTGCTGGTGCCATTTACATGGATAGTGGGATGTCACTGGAGACGGTCTGGCAGGTGTACTACCCCATGATGCGGCCACTCATAGGTATTGTTGGCTCCCTTTAGAAAGAAAAAAACCCACAACATTAAAAACAACTTCAAAGATATTATTCATATTATTCTTTCATTTTGATTGCAGAAAAGTTTTCTGCAAATGTACCCCGTTCCCCTGTGCGAGAATTGCTTGAAATGGAACCAGAAACTGCCAAATTTAGGTAAGCAAAAAATGTACATGGAAAAAAATTAACTTAAAACATCAAGGGGAAAAGTTCACAAAGGTATTGTAAACTAATGGTTCTGAAAAATATTTACACTGCGGCATGCTGTTGTCAGATTTCTATTTGTAATCTGATTGACTTCTCTTTTTTCTTTCTGTTTTTCTGAAATAATGCTGTAATAAAGACTAGATGGCAGCCCTGTCTGTCGGGGGTATGCAATTGCAGTAAGTCGTAACGCGTGTTTCCTTTGTGTGGTGTCAGCTTCTACATGGGACTCCTGGCCTGAGAGTGCACACTAAATGCTGATTGACAGTGATAATAAATACTCTGACTTCTAATTCAAGCTGTTTGGATTTTTTACAGCCCGGCTGAGAGAACTTATGACGGGAAGGTCAGAGTCACCGTGGAAGTAGTAGGAAAGGGGAAATTTAAAGGTGTTGGTCGAAGTTACAGGATTGCCAAATCTGCAGCAGCAAGAAGAGCCCTCCGAAGCCTCAAAGCTAATCAACCTCAGGTTCCCAATAGCTGAAACCCCTTTTTAAAATTCAAAACAAAAAACAAAAATATTAAGGGGAAAATTATTTAAATCGGAAAGGATGACTTAAAGTTGATATTGAGTGGAATGAATTGAAGGCAGAATTTAAAGTTTGTTTGGTAACAAGATAGATAACAGAATAAAACATTTAACATATGTATAAAATTTTGGAACTAATTGTAGTTTTAGTTTTTTGCGCAAACACAATCTTGTCGTCTTTCCTCACTTCTGCTTTGTTTAAATCACAAGAGTGCTTTAATGATGACTTTTAGCAAGTGTTCAAAATAATTGACAGGTTTTTTTTTTTTTTGAGTTTTATTTATGTCAGCTTTGCTTAGTGTTAGAAGGCCATGGAGCTTCCACTTAACTCCAGCAGTCCTAGGATGATGTGGATTCTTCTCCATCTCTCCGTGTGTGCAGTAGTGCCAGTCCTGCAGTAGTTGATAAGCTGAATAGAATGCTAAAGTTTTCGAGAGGAGAAGTGCACCAGTGTTGTCTTTTCTTTCCATGTTATACTGTATAAGGTGATGTTCCTGGTCGCTGCCTGTTCCTGGTCGTTGCACCTGATAGTAAGGGACAGATTTTTAATGAACATTGGCTGGCATGTTGGTGAATCACATTTTAGTTTTCCAATGCCACATAGTCTTGGATAAAAAAGGTTCTTGCCTTAAAAGTAAAACCTTCATGGATATTCTTTAATCTCTGATCTTTTTGGAACAAACTGTTTTACATTCCCTTCATTTTATTATGCATTAGACGTTGAGACAGCGTGATACTTACAACTCACTAGTATAGTTGTAACTTATTATAGGATCATCCTAAAATTTCTGTCATAGTATACTGAAGACATTTTAAAAACCAGAATATGTAGTCTACGGATATTTTTTATCATAAAAATGATCTTTGGCTAAACACCCCATTTTACTAAAGACCTCCTGCTAGGTAGTTCCACTGATGGAAATGTTTATGGCAAATAATTTTGCCTTCTAGGCTATTGCTCTAACAAAATAAACCTTAGACATATCACACCTAAAATATGCTGCAGATTTTATAATTGATTGGTTACTTATTTAAAGAAGCAAAACACAGAGCACCTTTACCCTTAGTCTCCTCACATAAATTTCTTACTGTACTTTTCATAATGTTGCATGCATATTTCACCTACCAAAGCTGTGCTGTTAATGCCATGAAAGTTTAACGTTTGCGATAAACTGCCGTAATTTTGATACATCTGTGATTTAGGTCATTAATTTAGATAAACTAGCTCATTATTTCCATCTTTGGAAAACGAAAAAAAAACTTTTAGGCATTTGCCTAAGTTTCTTTAATTAGACTTGTAGGCACTCTTCACTTAAATACCTCAGTTCTTCTTTTCTTTTGCATGCATTTTTCCCCTGTTTGGTGCTATGTTTATGTATTATGCTTGAAATTTTAATTTTTTTTTTTTTTTTTTGCACTGTAACTATAATACCTCTTAATTTACCTTTTTAAAAGCTGTGGGTCAGTCTTGCACTCCCATCAACATACCAGTAGAGGTTTGCTGCAATTTGCCCTGTTAATTATGCTTGAAGTTTAAGAAAGCTGAGCAGAGGTGTCTCGTATTTCCCAGCACATGATTCTGAAGTTGATGCTTCATGGAATGCTGCATTTATGTGTAAGTGACATTTGAATACTGTCCTTCCTGCTTTATCTGCATCATCCCCCCACAGAGAAATGCCTCTGTGCGAGTGCACCCACAGAAAACTGTCAGCTCTGCTTTCTAAGGAACCCTGAGTGAGGGGGATATTAAGCTTCTCCGGTGTTTTTTGTTATCTCCAATCTTAAACTTAAATTGAGATCTAAATTATTAAGTGAGTTTTTGAGCAAATTAGTTTGGGTGACTTGTTTTAAAACTATTTCATTCTGATTTGGAACCTTAAGATGTCTATTTGATTTTAATAAAAACCTTAATGTAAGATATGGCCAGTTAAAACAAAGCAATTCTTGAATTATATAACTGTAAAAGTGCAGTTAACAAGTAAGGCTGGATGTGAATTTTATTGTGAGGGTGATTTGTGATCAAGTTTAATCACAAATCTCTTAATATTTATAAACTACCTGATGCCAGGAGCTTAGGGCTTTGCATTGTGTCTAATACATTGATTCCAATGTTACGGGATTCTCTTGATTCCTGGCACCAAAATCAGATTGTTTTCACAGTTACGATTCCCAGTGGGAGAAAAATGCCTCAATATATTTGTAACCTTAAGAAGAGTATTTTTTTGTTAATACTAAGATGTTCAGACTTAGACATGATTAGGTCATACATTCTCAGGGGTTCAAATTTCCTTCTACCATTCAAAATGTTTTATCAACAGCAAACTTCAGCTATTTCACTTTTTGTTGGAGAAAAATAGTGGATTTTAATTTGACTCACAGTTTGAAGCATTCTATGATCCCCTGATTACTAAGTTAAAAAATAAAAAAGTACGAGTTAGACATATGAAATGGTTATGAACGCTTTTGTGCTGCTGATTTTTAATGCTGTAAAGTTTTCCTCTGTTTAGCTTGTTGAAATGTTTTGCATCTGTCAATTAAGAAAAAAAAAATCACTCTATGTTGCCCCACTTTAGAACCCTATGTGCCACCCTTCTGTTCCCGTGATTGCAATGTGAGACCGAATGTAATATGGAAAACCTACCAGTGGGGTGTGGTTGTGCTCTGAGCACATGTGTAAAGGACTGGGGAGGCGTATCTTGAAAAAGCAACTGCAGAAATTCCGTATGATGATTGTGTGCAAGTTAGTTGACATGAACCTTCATTTGTAAATTTTTTTAAATTTCTTTTATAATATACTTTCCGCAGTCCTAACTATGCTGCGTTTTATAATAGCTTTTTCCCTTCTGTTCTGTTCATGTAGCACAGATAAGCATTGCACTTGGTACCATGCTTTACCTCATTTCAAGAAAATATGCTTAACAGAGAGGAAAAAAATGTGGTTTGGCCTTGCTGCTGTTTTGATTTATGGAATTTGAAAATGATAATTATAATGCCTGCAATGTGTCATATACTCGCACAACTTAAATAGGTCATTTTTGTCTGTGGCATTTTTACTGTTTGTGAAAGTATGAAAAAGATTTGTTAACTGAACTCTTATGTTTTTAAAATGTTTGTTATATTTGTTTTCTTTTTTCTTTTATATTACGTGAGGTGATGAAATGTAGAATGACCTCTAACACTCCTGTAATTGTCTTTTAAAATACTGATATTTTTATTTGTTAATAATACTTTGCCCTCAGAAAGATTCTAATACCCTGCCCTGACAACACGAGACTTGAGGCTCTTTGGTTCATGAGTCCAGGTGTTCCCCTGGCAGTCGGTGCCTTCAGTCGCTCCCTGGAGGCAGGTGGGGACTGCAGAGGGTCACTGGAATCCAGACTGAGCGCAGTTGATGCACAAGGCCTTGTTGATTTAAAGTATTGGATCTTGTTCTGTTAGGGTATCTAATCCCTTTACACAAGATTTAAGCCACCAAACTGAGACCTTGATACCGTTTTTTAACTGCATCTGAAATTCTGTTAAGAGTCCTTAACCCATTTGCATTATCTGCGGAAGAGAAACTCCTGTCATGTATAATTCTTACCTATATGGTTGTTTTAATTACATTTGAATAATTATATTTTTCCAACCACTGATTACTTTTCAGGAATTTAATTATTTCCAGATGAATTTCTTTATTTTATATTGTACATGGAAAGTTTTAAAGATATGTTTAAGACCAAGACTATTAAAATGATTTTTAAAGTTGTTGGAGACGCCAATAGCAATATCTAAGAAATTTGCATTGAGACCATTGTATTTTCCACTAGCAGTGAAAATGATTTTTCACAACTAACTTGTAAATATATTTTAATCATTACTTGTTTTTTTTTCTAGTCCATTTTTATTTGGACATCAACCACAGACAATTTAAATTTTATAGATGCACTAAGAATTCACTGCAGCAGCAGGTTACATAGCAAAAATGCAAAAGTGAACAGGAAGTAAATTTCTGGCTTTTCTGCTGTAAATAGTGAAGGAAGATTACTAAATTCAAGTAAAACTAATGCATATAATTTGATTGACAATAAAATATTTACCATCACATGCTGCAGCTGTTTTTTAAGGAACATGATGTCATTCATTCATACAGTAATCATGCTGCAGAAATTTGCAATCTGCACCTTATGGATCACAATTACCTTTAGTAGTTTTTTTTTGGTAATAATTGTAGCCGAGTAAATCTCCAATAAAGTTATCGTCTGTTCACTTTGTGTCCTTGCATCTTTTTTCAATTCAAGTGGGTAATGACATTTAAATAGTGGGAGCCGAAACGATCTTTATAATGTTTTCATTCCATGGTGAATCATACGAAAATGCATATTTAATATAAAATTTTGTTTACCAAGTTCTGCTGCATGTCCACCTGCAGAATTATATAGTAATAGAATTATATAGTAACAACTGTCTTTTTTGAAGACTTAATTCCAATCTGCTTTTTGGAAATTTTGTCACATTGATTGATGCATTCTAGGTCTTGGATTATTTAGATGATATGTTTGACACATTCTTTAGGTGAACTTGGCTTTTCTAAAATCAGGTGGACAGAATGTTCAGCTTCCAGATTTTTAGGACACATTTCCAATATTGTTGATTAAGAAATAATTTTAGCTTTTTGACCCAATTTTTTTTTGTAACTCAGTAAACCAAGCACTAATACTAATCATGTGGTTGTAGGAACAAGATGGTAAGAAGTTTTTTAGAATGAGAAAACCTTTGTAAGTTTGAATTAGTCCCTTCCTTTCCTCTCTCTCTGACTGCCCTAAACTAGAGGAGGAAAAAGTATCTGTATTTTAATCCTGAGGAATTTGGGTAAGTGCTACATGCTTGTGTGTGTTGGTGTTACTGCCCTGAATTCTCTAGAGAGTTCAGGCCAAGCCTCAGGGCCACAGATCCTTCCTGCCACCATTGACCCTACCCTCCAAGACAAGCAACTGCTCATGTCTGCAGCTGTCATGGCTAGCAAGAAAGAACACAGCCAGGCTGAATGTATCATTTTGCAGATTGCGATGTGGGTGAAAAGAATCCAGATGGGATTGAATTTTTGTGTGTGTGCAGATCCGTGAGCACATGTATGTTTTAGATGGAATGGTAAATGCTGGGTCCCAGCCAGCTCACGTCTGTGCCCCTTGCAAAGATGCAAGGAGCAGAGAGATGTGCAGGTCGGGAGAGAGTGCTTTCTAACCGGTCTGCAAGGCAGTTTATGAACAACCCTTAGAGGGTTTTTTGGTGTGTATGTGGTAAAATACACATAAAGTTTACCATCCTAACCATTTTTAAGTGTACAGTTTAATGGCATAAAGTACATTCACGGTGTTTTGCAGTCCTCACCACCCTTCATCTCTAGAACTTTTTTTTTTTTTTTTTTTTTGAGACGGAGTCTCGCTCTGTCACCCAGGCTGGAGTGCAGTGGCACAGTCTCAGCTCACTGCAAGCTCCGCCTCCCGGGTTCAAGGAATTCACCTGCCTCAGCCTCCCGAGTAGCTGGAACTACAGGCGCCCGCCACCACGCCCGGCTCATTTTTTGTATTTTTAGTAGAGAAGGGGTTTCACCATGTTAGCCAGCATAGTCTTGATCTCCTGACCTCGTGATCTGCCTGCCTCAGCCTCCCAAAGTGCTGGGATTATAGGTGTGAGCCACCGCACCTGGCCCACCTCCAGAACATTTTCTTTATCCCAAATTAAAACTCTACCCATTAAACACTAATACCCCTTTCCCTCCAAATCCCTGGCAACCTCATTCTACTCTCTCTGAATTTAATTTTTCTAAGTAGCTCATGTAAGTGGAATCTGGCAATGTTTGCCCTTTTGTGTCTGACTTCACTTAGCATAAGGTCTTCATGGTTCAGCCATACCATGGCACATGTCAGAATTTGCTTTTTAAGGTGAATAATATCCCATTATTTGCATAGACCACATTTTGTTGATTCGTCTGCCAGTGGACATTTGGGGTTGCTTCTACCTTTCGGCTGTTGTGAACAGTGCTGCTGTAAACATTACTGTAGACATAGCTGTTTGGGTCACTGCTTTCAGTTCTTTAGAGTATATACCCCAGAAGTAGAATTGCTGGATCATATGGTAATTCTGCTTAATTTTTAACATATTGTTTTCTATAGTGACTGCACTATTTTACTTCCCCACCAGTAGTGCACCAAGTTCCAGTTTCTTCACATCCTCACCAATACTTGTTTTATGTGTTTTTGATAAGAGCCATCCTAATGGATGTAAAGTGGTATCTTATTGTGGTTTTGATTTACATTTCCCTAATGATTAGGGATGTTGAGCATCTTTTAATGGCTTATTGGCCATTTGTCTCTTTGGAAAATTACCTGTTCAAGTCCTTTTTACCCATTCTTGAATTGGGTTTTTTTGTTGTTGAGTTTTAGAAGTTCTGTATATATTCTGGATAAGAGTTTTATAGTTGTAGCTCTTACATTGGGTCTTTGATCCATTTTGAGTTAGCTTTTCGTACAGATGCTTCTCTATTCATGGTGGAGTTATGTCCCAGTAAACCTATCGTAAATTGAAAATATCTTAAGTGAAAAATGGATTTGGCCGGGCGCAGTGGCTCACACCTATAATCTCAGCACTTTGGAGGCCAAGGTGGGTGGATTGCTTGAGCTCAGGAGTTTGGACCAACCTGGGCAGCATGGCAAAAGCTCATCTCTACTAAAAATACAATTAGCTGGGTGTGGTGGCACACGCCTTTAGTCCCAGCTAATCAGGAGGCTGAGGGGGGAGATCACCTGAGCCTGGGGAGGTCAAGGCTGGGGTGAGCCATGATCATGCTACTGTACTCTAACCTGGGCAACAGAGTGAGACCCTGTTTCAAAAAAAGTTGTAACAAACCTTCACGTTGTGCACATGTACCCTAGAACTTAAAGTATTAAAAAAACACACACACAAAGTTATTCAATCCACCCGACCTACTGAACATCATAGTTTTGCCTAGCCTATGTAAATATGCTCAGAACACACATTAGCCTACACCTGGGCAAACACAAAGCCTGTTTTATTTTTATTTTTTTGAGATGGAGTCTTGCTCTGTCATCAGGCTGGAGTGCAGTGGTGCAATCTTGGCTCACTGCAACCTCCACCTCCTGGGTTCAAGCGATACTCCTGCCTCAGCCTCCCGAGTAGCTGGGACTACAGGCGCCTGCCACCACGCCCGGCTATTTTTTGTATTACTGGTAGAGACGGGGTTTACTATGTTGGCCAGGATGGGCCTTGATCTCTTGACCTCAAGATCCGCCTGCCTCAGCCTCCCAAAGTGCTGGGATTACAGGTGTGAGCCACCGTGGGTGGTGTTGGGGGGACCGGCCGGGTCCTCAAAGTGTGGTTTCTACTGGATGCATATCACTTCTGCACCATCAGAAAGTCAAGTCATTAAGCTGAACCATTGTGCATTGGGGACTCACTCTCTGTGATATAAGGTAATGGTCCAGCCTCATTCTTTTGCATGTGAATGTCCAGTTTCTCCAGCACCATTTGTTGAACGCTCACACTTCTCTAGTGCTCTCCTATTGAAATGGTGCTCTGCAAACAGTCCCTCCACCCATCTCAGCTGCCCAAATGAAAAGCTTACCAAGGGTCATCCTTGGTTCCTGACCTTCCCTCGTGTCTTGCATCCTATCAGTCATCTGTCAGCGAATTCTGCTGATTTGGCCTCCTAGATAAAGCATAACCCCCTTTCCACTGCCAGCACCCTGATCGAACAACCATTGCTTTTACCTGGACTATGTCACAGTCTCCTAATGGGTCTTCCTGCTTCCACCCTTTTCCCCTCTGATCTATTTTCCACATTGTAGCCAGAATAATCTAGTTAAAATAGAAATCAAAATAGATCTAAACTCCTCCCATGGCCTACAAAGCCTATGTGATCTGGCCCCTCCATGACTGAGTCCTCTCAGTGTGCTTTAGTCATGAGGGTCTTGCTGGTTTCACTGAGCAGTAAGCCCATCCTAGTACAGAGTTCATGGGAGGCTCTGGGGTCAGACTTCCTGTGTGTGAAGCCTTCTCTGTCACTTGACTCTGTGACCTTGGACAAAACGCTTTGTCTCTGTGCACTCCTCTACAATAGTGATGATAGTAATAACTGGAACCCAGAGGGTGGTCACGAGGATTAAGTGAAAGGATAGAGGGAAGGTGTTTGGTGCAGAGCTGGCATCCAGAAAACAGGCATCTTTTTTTTTTTTTTTTTTTTTTTTTGAGGTGGTGTCTCGCTCTGTCGCCCAGGCTGGAGTGCAGTGGCCGGATCTCGGCTCACTGCAAGCTCTGCCTCCCGGGTTTACGCCATTCTCCTGCCTCAGCCTCCCGAGTAGCTGGGACTACAGGCGCCCGCCACCTCGCCTGGCTAGTGTTTTTGTATTTTTTCTTTTAGTAGAGACGGGGTTTCACTATGTTAGCCAGGATGGGCTTGATCTCCTGACCTCGTGATCCGCCCGTCTCGGCCTCCCAAAGTGCTGGGATTACAGGCTTGAGCCACCGCGCCCGGCCAACACGCATCTTTAATTCAAATGTGTTAGCATGGTTGGCTCCTATCATTCAGGGTCCCATTCAACTACGGCTCAGAGGACAGCCCTTATTAACATAAGGTAGCCCCCCATAACTATCATGGATTTAACATTGCACTCTATCACCTTGTCTCTAGCTATCCCTCACACGATACTAGCAAGGATGCTCCATGAGGGTAGGACCTCGTCCTGCTTCCTGCCATAGGTAGTACTGAGCACACAGCCCAAATTTGACAAAATGAATATATGGTCAGTTATCTAACCCGTGGCTGAACCAAACTTAAAGAACATTGTAGCACCACAGGACCAAAAATGATTTTTTATTTTGCGTCTCTCACCCTAAAGCCAACCATTTTCAGAAGTTAGCTTTGGAGGTCTGCAATCACCTTCAGGGTGCTGGGTGGAGAGGAGCCAGGAGCAACACAGACAAGTGTGTGGACATTATCCCTTTACACATTTACTCAAAACCTATGCTGAGCTCTGTGCCCCTGCCTGATTCATACCTCCCTGACCTTGCTTGTAGGCCCCCACAGTTTGGATTAGGCATTCACACTTACTCATCCCGACCTTTGGGCCTGAGCTCTCAAAGCTCCAGGTTATCTGCACGTTCTCCCCAACTTTGGAAATTGATCACAACCTAGTGCCACTGTAGTCAGTCACCTCGCCCTTCCCTGGATCAGGGAGAGAGGGTCTGGA